GTAAAAAGCAATAAAACTATTTCTACGGTCGGAAACGCAAATAATTTGCATTCATAATTTAAAAAGAGTATAATGTGATGCCAATTAAAACCAATAGAAATTCTTTATATTCTTTGCAGCCTAGTTGAAATAAATGTGCAAATTATTTGCTTATCTGACCGTAGTTTAACTAATTTGCAGCTTACACCAACAACAATTTAAAAAGGAGAGCTGTTCCGAGAGTGTTTGAAGGAAAGTTCAAAAATTCCGAAAATTTCGAATATTCCCACCTACACAGCTGGACAGAATTATAGGTGTGAGAACATTTTTGTTTTTTTCAAAATATGCTTGCCTTTCATATATATTCCAATTTTTCTCAAAAAATCAATTAGTTTTCAAATAATAACAAATAATAAACGGCTTTACCAACCGTTAAAAATAACTTAGCGTTTAGTTAATTCATAAAATACAAAGATTTCGGCTGGACAGAATAATAGGTGTGTAAAAACAAAATTTGTTAAAAAAAATTAAAATTCTGTCATTCATGGTCCCATATTGTACTGAACTGATTAGAGCACACTCCATATTCTGAATATCGGCCATTATTCTTGGTGATCTTTTCGATTCCTGCAGACATAAAGGATATCAACTTCTGACAAATCTTTGAAGGCATGTTATACCAATATTTCCCATAAAACCTTCAAATTCATTGCCAGGTCAATGAAAAGTTCGGAACGAATATTCTTAAACCAGAAAAATCCATCGAAACACGAGGAAAACCAAGAAATACTTCAATAGAGACCGAGCTCGAAATAGTTACCGATTCGTCTCGCATTCGCCATGAAAATCAAGCCACAAATTATGTTTGTGGCCTGATTGATAAAATAAATGATTCAATCATGTCTTACATATTTTTTAAAATAAAAACAATTTTTTAAAATTTTTTTACTTTATTTTATTAGACTTTAATGCCAAGAAAGTAAAGCAAATGCTTCACTTCAATGAAAATAAATTACATTTTGAATTTGCACATTTCAAACTTCACAATCTCAATAAAAAAAACTGTGCCTATATAAGCTAATTAACGCAATATTTTGTTTTAATTTATTTTAATTTAACATTTATATTAATTTGCTATTTCATTCAAGATAAAATTTAAAGTTGAAAGAAACAAGTTAAAGTTGAAAGAAACAATTTAAAATTGAAAGAAACAATTTTAAGTTGAAAGAAATAATTTTAAGTTGAAAAAAATAATTGTTTTTCTGTATTTAACTTTAAAGAAAAGCTTTCTATGATTAAAAACAAAACATTTAAATTTTCTAAGTATTTTTTTTTTTGAGTGTAGAATTTTATGTTGAAAGAAACAATTGTTCTAGTGTATTTAACTTTAAAGAAAAGCTTTCCAAGATTGAAAACAACACATTCAAATTTTCCAAGTATATTTTTTTGTAGTTTAGAATTTTATGTTGAAAGAAACAATTGGTTGACTCCAAAGAAAAGCTTTCTAAGATCGAAAACAAAGAATTTAAATTTTCGAAGTATTTTTTTTTTGAGTTTATAAATTCGTAGATGAAATTGTTTTGTAAATTTGTTTTATCAAACTAAGCTAAAACTTGACATGAAGTGATGAAACTATAGTTTGCAGCAAAATGCAGTTATAAACAATGAGAGTGAAAAATATTTTGCAAGCCCTTAATCTAGTTTTGCGCACCAACTATTTTCATGAATGTGTGTGTGCGAGGATGTCTGTGTGTGTGTGTGTGTGTGTGTGTGTGTGTCATCAAGTGTCAAAATGCATCAGAGAATCAGCCAGCCCAACAGCCTTCAGTGGAGAGATGAGCTGAAATGCTGCTGTTGTTGCTCCTCTGCTCTCCTGTCAGCTCTGGCTAGGTGTCCTATCAATCACATGGGTGTTGGCGTTGGCGTTGCCACCCCACGCTGACAGACTCGCTGACTGACTGACGGACTGCCTGACTGACTGACTGACTGATTGCAGGACGCATCAAAGACGGCTGCTGTGCTGGAAGCTGCAAGTTGCAGCATTTTGTAAAAATTAATTAAATTTTTGCCTTTTGCTTTCAAATATTTATATGGCCTGTCATTCATTGGCATTGTTTGTAGAGCTACGCGCAATTATGGCCAATGCTCACACCAATGTTCACACCACACGACATAAGTATTGTTACTGACTCAAAAATATTCGAATTATTTATTGATTGAGTTTAATAAATGAGAACTGAAAAAGCATCTTTTCAGAATCGTTGTGTATTTGTGGAAATTGATAAAATCAGCTGCATTGGCTTGTCAATATACTTGCGGCGACTAGTGTGACAAGGAGCTGCAGAAACAATGGGCACATGCAGCACGTGCCACGCATTGGCCATAAAAGAGAGCAAGCTTGTGCTTGTACTCGCAGTTCTTTAAATTGAGGAAACTATAAAGTGCATTGGAAGCGAAGCGCCGGGTGTTGATTTATGTGTGCGGGCCAGGGATGTGGGCGCTCTAATTTGGCACTTAAATGCAAGGACGTGCGTGGGACTGACTCATGAGACGGCAAGCTGCCTGATGTGTGTAGGCACATGTCTGCAACATCCTCATCATTATTGCCAGCAGCATCATCATCATCGTTGTCGTCACTATAGATTCCTATCACGCGCCGCAAAATGACGTTACGTGTCTCCCAGTGGCGCGTCGGCAAGGTGTCCTTGCCGTCCACTTGGCTCACTGACTGCCACCACTGGATTATGTTGCCGTGGCGTTGTCATATTCAATAATTGGCGCAAGTACTTTGATGCGGTTGGCGGTGCTTCCATCTCTTCAGTGTGCCGCAACACTACGTATACAGGGTGCTTTTCTAAGTTATACTATTCAAGCAACTGCAAACTTTTGCAATTTTTAAATAATTCCATCCAAAGTCAGTGTGCTTTACAAATATTCCTTGTTCCTTGTTTTCAAGAACAGCCTTCGCTGCTTCAATTAAAAAGCCACTTCGCAAGTGGACCAGCAACGTTGTTTTGTTATCAGTTAACGATGCGGAACCGGTTTCACAAGCCGCAAGGTCGTGGCACCATACACTAACAGAAAAAAAGTAGACCGAATTCATCATAAAAGAAAGGAGAAGAAAAATATGAAATAATAATAAACAATAAATAAATTCCAAATTTATTGCACTAATCTGCCAAAATAGTTAATTATAATTATTAATATTCTTTCTACAAGTATAAAATAAAAATATTTTAATATTTGGTCCTTTCGTACTAAAATATTATAATTATTTTAAGATAGAAACCAACCTGGCTTACGCCGGTTTGAACTTAGATCATGTAAGAAATAAATATAAATACATAAATAAATATACATTTAACAAATAAATATTAATAAAGTTTAATTTTTGAATTCCTTTCTTTCTCATTTCAATTCAATTTTTTTTTAAATTTCTTTAAGGAGATTTTCGTTTTAAAATTGTATTCATTTTTCTTGCGATATTTCAGTTTAGTGTTGGATTCAAAATCTCAACAGAATAATTGGGAGTAAAGAAAAAACAAATTATGTATAGTAATAAAAAGAAATAAATATATAAATTATATTAATAATAGCCAAGCTAATAAGTTTTCCACTTATATTTATTTAACGTTTCTTAAAAATGTTTCCTCAAAAAGATATAGCAACATATGTAATGTACACATTAATTTATGAAAATGATATTTTAATAAAAGTTTCCATAGCACAAAATACAATACGAATTCTATTTAAAAAATTTAAAAAAATTCGAATTGCTTGCTCATGAAATTTCTCGCTAAGACACTTTCTTTTTTTTGAGTGTAGAAAACACTAGCGGGCCTGGTGCGAAAAGCCGGCCAAAGAGGGAATATTAAAAACACAATAGCTGCGATCCTTCACAACGAAAAACTGAAAAAGAGTGGCTGCGAAAAAATAACAGAGTCGTCGCAGCAGCAGAGCTAAAAGGGGCGGCTTTTCTCTTCTTCATTGCGAAAATTAAATAACAGTAATTACTAATTAATAGCTTTGCAATTTAAAGTCAAAGTAGCCTCACAAATTTATTTATTCATTACTGCATTAAAATATTAGAAAGAATTTAATTTTGAAAATTATAAAGAAAACTAAAAATTTTTAAAATACAAGTGCCTGCTGTTTTTATGTCTACACAATTTTTTATTTTCTCAGACTTGATAATTAAAGCATGTAAATTCAAAATTTATTTATTTTTGATAATTTTAATGTTTTTGTCAGCATAAAACTTTTCATATACCAGTGTTTTTATTTTAATTAAAGTAAAAAGAATAAATTAGTAAATATGGGGCGTTTTTCAATTTCTAATAGATAATATTTTTAAAAACGTTAGCCTTGAAAGGAAATAAAAAAAGGAGTAGAAACGTGAACAATTTAATTATTTAACAAATAACGGCCCTAATAACAGAATAAATTAAAAAACTGAATGAATGAATTTTATGAACTATAAATATAATAAATATAATTTGCTTTTGTAGCAATTTGTTTTATTTTAAAGCGAGAAACAAGTTTGTAATATAATAATAATTTCATATTTTTTTATTAAAAGAGACAACTGAACTGAAGCATTTTAAGATATTTTTTATTACTTTACTTGCATGTTTCAAAAATAATTTGCAAAATAATTGATAATAATTAAATAGACTGTTTTTTTTTTAAATTTAATTATCGCTTTTAAAGCACGCTCCCCACGCCCCTAAGCCACTGTGTTTTGCTTAGGCTGTGGAGCTGAGATTGCTACACACATAGACACACACATAGACACGACTAAAGCAGAGAGTGCTAATATTTTTCCCAGAGCGTAAGATCCAGTTGCGAAGCTGCGTGGAGATGGAAGCAGTGCCTCCCTAAGAAGAACAAAACGAAAGAAGAATATCCAAACAAAACAAAAGGGGAGCGACTAATTGAAGCGATCGAATGCCGATGATGTTTGTTGACCGGCGCGGCCGACGTCGACCAAATCAGTTGAAATCGGAGCGTCGCGAGAGACGGAACGCATATCGAATGCTCAACGCAACTACTTGTATATAGGCAGACAGACAGACAGACGGGCAGACAGAGAGACAGCCAGACAGATAGATAAGCGGAATTGAACGATCGATCGAGCGGAGACGACATTGACATTCAGGGCGACGTCATAAAGTGTGGCGCTAATTGATGCCAATATTTGTGAGGCCCCTGCCTCCCCCGCCCACCCACCATCACCATCACAGTTGTGACGACAACTGGAGGCCAAGCACGCGGGGTCAAGTGCTCGCAATTGAATGTGTCAGAAAATGAACCGTTTGGGGCAGCAGCTGTTGCTCTTGCTGTTGCTGTTGTTGTTGTTCTTTCTGGTACTCGTGCCCTCAGCGAGGGCAGCTGTTTGCGGTTCCATGGACCTGCAGCGGCCTGAGGACTTCGCCAAGCTGCGTAACTGCAGCTTCGTCGAGGGCCATGTGCGCATCGCGAATATCGAGGTGCCGGCCAATGGGAACCTCACAGAGCTGCGCTCCGAGTTGCTCGAGATTCGCGATTACCTCATGATATATCGCCTCAATGGATTGCTCACGCTGCAGAGCCTCTTTCCGCGTCTACGCCTCATTCGCGGCGAATCTTTATTGTTCGATCAGTACGCCCTCGCCATATACCAGAATCGGAATTTGCGCGAACTCGGCTTCGTCCAGCTTCGGCGTATCCAGCGCGGCGACATTCGCATCGAAAGCAATCCCCGGCTCTGCTTTGTGGAGACCGTCGATTGGGTGTACCTGCTGGCAAATACCACGCAGCAGCATTATTCGATCAAGGTGTGTATCAGAGTCTTCAAAGAACAACAATTCCAAGTTCTCATTAATTTATATAGCATGTCTTCAAAAAAAGGCACAACTAATTTAACAAAAGGTTAAATTTCGGTTAGAAATATCATTATTATTTCTTGCTAAAGTCATTTTTGGTAAAACATATAGATTTCTACAAGTATTTGCAAAGAGAGGCGCTTTTATTTTTTGTATAACACTCTACCAATAAATATCCCTACATTCCTGAATTGGAGGAACTACTAGGGGTGCTTCTCAAATATGTCGATCCATTTGTTTTTCCGTACGAGCTTCGATACCTTTTGATCAATGATAACTAAGCGTTTCAAACTACGTAAATATAATTGTGTTATCAACGTGTTTAGCGAGTTTTAATTGCAAGCCAATTTAGTTATAGTTGCCATAAGAATGATCTGTGCAAGAATAAATCTTACTACTCGTACCTCTTTCGCTAATTGAGGTATAGGAAAAAAATTTGATGCGACAGCGTGACTTGATGAATCTATTTTCGTCTGTCTGTATGAACCGCAATATCTGAGGATTTATAATAGCTAGTCGTATCAAATTTGGCATAGAGAGTTGTTGAATGGAAATGTAATTCCAGTTTACTGCAAAACAGATATAGCTTAAATATTTTAAATAACTGTCATAGAAACGATCGAGCTAAACATTAATATAACTAGCTAGTGCTTTGATTCATTAAAATAGATGCATAATATTAAAGAACTGTCAGAGAAACAATCTGAACATTGAATTCAATTTTTATATCAGATAGTTTTTAATTAAAACTGAACTATTTATCATAAAAAAATGATCAATAATTAATAAAATTTGTAAATAAAAATTGAAATATGTTCTTTCAATAAAATGTTTGGTTAATATTGAGAGATTTGTTATAGAAAGAAAAAAAGTACTTATATTGGTAAAATAGCAACAACTTGTATATATTTAAAAAGGCAATGATTAGATTTTGAACAAATTTTGAAAATGTTTTGTGGAATTGTTGTAATTTGGTGACTATAACTGAACGATTATATGAATTTCATTTTAACAGTTTGGAGCTAAGTTTAGAGTTCCCCTTAAAACTGGAATGTATTCGAAAAGGAACTAATTGATTTCTTTTTTCCTCCACGAGTATTAATATTTTCAGCTATATAGTCTTACAACTGTTTAATAATGGTTTGGTGCTTCAGAAATTTCAAAAATATACTCACTTGTTATTATATTCATTATAATAGAATGTTGTATATTATTTTAGCATAACATCTCCCCCAATCTGTGTCCTGTTTGTGACGGTCTATCGGCGGACTATGGATATCGTCAGAATACAACGCAGAGCTGCTGGAACTTGAACTCTTCCCAGCTCCGATATACGCCGCCCCGCACCTCTGATTGCCCAACCGAGTGTGGACTGACTGGCTGCGATGTGGCAGGCAAGTGTTGCAACTCCAATTGCCTCACTGGATGCTCGGCAGAGAACTGCAAGCTGTGCGCCAATCTCTATCATAATGGCAGCTGTGTGGATCAGTGTGTGGACAGCTATAGATATCGTAGCGAGTGCGTATCGTTTAAGGAATGCCGCGATTTGGGCAACATACCACTGGCCCGGGGCAATAGATGTTTGAAGGAATGTCCAAACAAGGAGCCACCCAAGCAGGGCATCAATGGAACGCTCCATTGCGAGATGGCATGTCGGGGCACTTTTTATGTGAGACGCGCCTCGGACTTATGGCCCCTGCAGGACTGCATCGCCATTAATGGTTCACTGATTATTGAATTGGTCGACATTAAGGGTGAGAATTGGCCGCAGTGTGTACGAGTGCAGCATATGAAATGATATAGTTTTGGGTTTTTGCAGAGAAAATTATACCGGTGCTTGAGCAGACATTGAGCGACATCAAGGAAATAACGGGTTATCTGAAGATTCAACGATCGGCGCAGCTGCTGAGTTTGACATTTTTCAAGAACCTGGACACTATACGTGGTGATGTGTTAATTCAAAACAAGTAGGTTGCTTAAAGAGAACGTCTGTCTGTATGAACGTCGAAATCTTCTTAACCCTAGACGATAGGCATATAACATTTGGCATGTAGATTTATTTTATAGATGTGTAGATTGGGTAATGACGAAACACATTATTATTTAAAGTGTAAAGCTGCCATAAGAATCTTACCAGCATTACCTTTATTAAGGTATCGGAACAAAATTTGTTAGGGGAGGGTGCCTTGATAAGGCCATTCCCGTCTGTCGTTACATTCGTCTGTCTGTATGAACGTCAATATCTTCTGAGCCATGACCAATAGCCATACCAAATTTAATATATAGATTCATTTAATCAAAATGTAAATCAAGTTAAATTATTTTAAATCCTATGATATGCTCACGCCTCATCTCTTCAAAGAATAGTCTGTTGTAATCATTTCATTTCACAGATATGCTTTCTATGTTGTGGATAATCATCATTTGGAACACATCTGGCCCTCAAATCGTCAGGTCGCCATACAGAAAGGCTCGATTTTCTTTCATTTGAATCCGCGTCTGTGCTACGAAAAGATTCTGAAGCTGGAGCCCATGCTGAAGGGCGCTCAGAAGATCTCTATTGCCGATGTCTCGCCCAATTCCAATGGGGAGCGCATCATTTGCGGAAAGGCGGTGCGTACCCTGGAGGCCACCATAGAGGATTTGAATTCCACAGCCGTGCGTATTGCCGTCAGTCTGATGAGTTGGGAGGACATTGAAACCCTGATAGGCTATTCCTATCATTATATGGAGTCGCCGCACCGTAATGTGACGCGTTTCGATGGACGACACGGTTGTGGACATGACAAGTAATAATACTTTTTACCTTCCGATAACCTTAAGCATCGCTCCTTTCCACTTGCAGTTGGCTTATGGATGTCTCTCCGACCAAGAATCGGCGACATGTGATTACTGGACTCAGACCCTATACACAGTATGCGTTCTTTGTGAAGACACTGACGCGCACCGACTACCACATGCAAATCGACGCCTATTCGGACATACTCTATTTTCGCACACTGCCCAGCAAGCCGAGTCCTGTTGCCCATCTCTACTGCACCTCCCAGCTGAGCACAAAAGTTGTGAGTGAACTAAAGCATGGCTTCTTATTGCTCCTATTCCTGCAAGTTGCAAGTTTCTTTCGTAGCTTTTGAATTGGTGGCCACCTCGTCGTCCCAATGGGGCCATCTCCAAATACATGATCAGCTCTGTGTGGCTGAATGTGTCGAAGGCGGAGGCGAACAGCAAGAACTACTTCAGCTTCAAGCCCGCCAAATACAGTGAGTGTCTGTGCAACGATTTGGAGCCCTACAATTCGGGTCCTCAGCCGGAGGATGAGAACTATTACAACAAGGAGCAGATTACCTATGAGGATGCTTTGCCGAACCTTATTTATGTTTCGTAAGCCCTGAAATTCCTGCAATCCCACATTTTCCAGGAGATATGAACATATAATTTTCAAATTTTAGACGCAACAGCAATAACAGCAAAAACGAAAAGTTTCACAAGGTTAAGGATTTTGCGGACCTTATAGCTGACCCCAAAGTATCGTTGAATGATAGTGTTAATGACGTCAGCACTACGACGCCAGCGCCGCTATCTAAAAATGACACCACAGGCGAAAGGAATCAAACATCCGAGGAGCAAAGCGAAAGCCAACTCGAAGCCAAGGCCGCCCAGCAATACGAACTCTATCGGCTGCAGGTGGAGCAGCGGGTGCGTCTGGCACAGGATACCGGCATCGAGGACTTTGTTATTTCGAAACCGGCGCCCCCTTGTGCGGATGTCCATGCCTCGGTGAGTCAGCAGCTTGAGGGGAAATGCGTGGTGGCCGAAGAATTGGAGGGCATTGAGGTGTCGGGCAGCCAGCACTACTACTGGCTAGAGGGGCTAAAGCCCGAGCAGGTCTATCGCATCAGCATACGGGCCTGCGTGAAGGACGTCGTGAACGGCTGTTCAAAGCCCTTCGAGATTCGTACCCAGACCACAAGTCGCACGGTGGAGGAATTTGTGCAGGGATATTAATAGAAATCCATAAACAATAAAGTGTTGTTTTCGAAATGTAGTTCAAATGTAACCTTTACTATCAGTTCCATAATTTGTTAAATCGATTCTTTTGTTTTTGAAGTTGGTTTAAAGGGTCTTTACTTTTGAATTGCATCTTAAAATCTGGCTTAAAGCAAAAGTCACGAATCAATATGTCTCTTTTAACAAACTAGATGAAAGGAATATTGGAGATTTCGTTTTGAAAGCTTAGATATCGAGTTTGCAGTTTTGAGAAACGAGTTAAAGGTAAAAACATAGCAATTCTAGATGAAAGTGACATCAAAGTTCCTTTGTTAAGGGTATGCTAATTTAATTTTTGAGAAACTATTTAACTATTTAATTATTAGCATTGTAACTATCCCGTTATTTAACTTCAATAAAAATAAGCGTTGAGTTGAATTTTGTCTAAAATTTGTAACCAAATCTTTAAAAAGATTAAAAGCCTTAAAAATAACATTAAACTATTCCTATTCTATTTCGCAACTGTATTTAGAGTATTTTTTTTTTTTGTCACTCATTCATTAATTCAGTCTAATAATGCTGTTAAAGCTATAAGTTATTTTATATTTATTTGGAAAGAGAGCTTTATAAGACTCATCAAACTAAAATGGCAAATACTAGTTTTTGTAAAGCGCGGGAACACACCTTACTAAGTAGTGGAATAAAAGCGTTCGTCGCTAGTGCCTGCAACTTGTTGGTACAACTGGTTACAGTTCGCAACCCATCATACATGTTGGTGATCCTCAAACAACACACATACATACATACGTTACATTTGCTGCAGAGAGCGCAGCGAAGGCAAGCGCTTTTTTCGCTCTTAGTAGGAGCAAGTGATAACGAATGTGAGCCGCGCAAGATAACTGTTATACATGCGATTGCGTCAGCGCAAGCTTACTCTTTCAGCATTGAATGTCATCTCAAAGTTTTCTCTCTGCTGCGATCCTTGTTGCACCCACGCATATTGGTATGTTAGGTGCGTTCTTTGATTTACAGTTATTTATTTGAATTGTTTAGCTACGTATTAATTTGCTGCGTAGTTAAAGAATTAGTTTCGCTTGACCTGTTGAGCGGGTCGCGTCGCTTTAAATTGCGCGAACGTGGTGTTAGTGTGTTTATTTGCGGCGCAATTAATTTTATTTATAGTTGATTTTGTTTCGGAGTGCCTTTTTAAATTTAAGAATAGAGTGATCTTTTTTTTATATATTTTTTTCAAGTGTTTGTGCGAAATATTTCATGTGTGTTAATTATTATTATATCAGTGCAAATTTTTTTTCCATTTTTTTAAAGTGTTTTATTTGTGATGTGACGTATTTTGCGTATTAGTGTGAAACTTTTCTATAGTTATATACAAGTAGATCGGTTGTTGTGACACGTAAGTACGCATTACAGTTATTAATAATTTATTTGTACTAGCATTACTTCTCTGATTTTCTAATCTAAGCAAATTATTTAAATTTGTGCAATATGTGCGCGTGTTTACATAGTTTTTCGACAAAATGGCGCTCTGACAAAGAGAAAGAAACGCAGATTGGGAAATTCAAAATTATACAAAAAGAGCTGGTCGGCTCTTCTCTCCCCTCCGCCTTCCTCTCATTCAGATTTCTTGATCCCACCCTCTTAATTTAATGCTGGCTCTCCAATATGTACAACGGTTTTCTGATATGCGACTTTATTAGTTGAGAGCGGCTTAAGAGCGATAACAGCAATGGAAAGAGAGAGCAGTCATTACTTTTCGGTTGAAGCGGGAGAAGGGATTTGTATCAAACGTGGCACAAACGAGTTGGAACGAACCAAATAGATCGACTTCTCTCAAATCAAATGAACAAATGATTAAAATAATAATAAAATAAACAAATAAGTGAATTCTCAACTGCATGCTATAGTATTATATTTTAAGAAAACATTTCTAGTGTTGCAGCAAAACTAAAACTGTACATCACAAAACTGGCTGTTACTTTAAATATGTTTTTATTCTAATTTAAAGGCTAACAAATGTTTGAATTACACTTTAAAACTTTGCATAAAGCTAAAAGCGCACATTGAATTTTGGTGTTTTATCTGGTTGTTTTTTTTTTTCGACAAAACATTTTCTGTGCACTATCTATGCTAATTTGTTTAACAGTTCCAAATCTGTCCCATAAGTAAGCCATTGAGCTTAACAGAAGAGCAGTTGCTTGCACACACAGGGTGATAACGACGGAGAGGGAGGAAGAGAGGGAGAGAGAGGGAGAGGAGAGGCAGGACAGCAGTTGGGTTTTAAAGGCTTAGTCTGTTTCTGATTTCTGACATTTTCAACAATAAGCCTACGAAAACTGAAAACAGTAACACCTGTGTCGCAACTCCCACAACCCGAATACTATACTTGCACGTACACACCCACGTCTTGTTGTATGCTTTGCTTTTTCCAACTTACGTCACTCGCAAACGTTGAACGCATGCCACTTAATATGCAAATATGCCCAAGCAAGGGAAGAGCGAGCGAGCGACTGTGTGTGTGTGAGAGAGAGAGAAAGCTTTAAACTTTAAAACACTGCCAAAAACTAAAAATAATCCCCGCAAACTAGAAACGAGCCGATCCCAACAGAGCCACAGCCACAGCCACAGCGACAGCCTCGGCCAGAACCAGAGCCGTGCCAAGTCGAGTACGTGTCATATGTCGCCTTGTTTGTGGTGAACTTTGGCGCTGCCTCAAATTTCTGCCGCACAAGTCGTGCCCCACTCAGCCACCTTCGCCAGTGAAGAAAGCAGCGAAAATGTTCGTGATTGACGGAAGTGCCGACGTTTTGAAAACGCGCTCTTTACACTCAGAGAAAAGTTTGTGATTTCTTTATTTATAATTTGTATAGGCAGTTAAAGAAAAAAGTCGTTGTTGAGTAAACATGTCATTAAAAGTAATTTCATATGGAAGGACAATAAGCAATAAGTATTTGAATGTTAAAAGCATATTCAAAAAGTTCATAACCGCTTTATTTTGACTTTGAGTCTATTTCGTAATTTTTTAAATTAATATTATTTAAATTTAAAGCAAACAAAAAGTTTGGAATTTATGTCTTTTTTGTTGCGTTTTTTAAATTTATTTATAATTAGTTCCTAGTGCGACCAGAAAAATTCTTATAAATTAAAAAATTAAAATAAACGTTTTTTTTTTGATTTTGAGACTATTTCGAAATTATTTAAATATTTATTATTTCAATTTTAAGCAAAAAATAAAATTGGAATTTATGTCCTTTGTGTTGAGCTTTCTTTTTATTTATTTATTTATTTTATTTATTTATTTATTATTAGTTCCTAGTGCGACAAAAAAGATTCTTATAAATTAAAAAATTAAAATAAACGCTTTATTTTGATTTTGAGACTATTTCGAAATTATTTAAATAATTATTATTTCAATTTTAAGCAAAAACAAAAAAATGGAATTTATGTCCTTTGTGTTGCGTTTTCTTTTTATTTATTTATTTTATTTATTCTATTTATTTTATTTATTTTATTTATGTTTTTTATTTTATTTATTTCATTTATTTTATTTATTATATTTATTTTATTTATTAATTTATTATTAGTTTCTAGTGCGACAAGAAAAATTAAAATAAACGCTTTATTTTGATTTTGAGACTATTTTGTAATTATTTAAATTAATATTATTAAAATTTTAAGCAAAAAAAAGTTTGTAATTTATGTCCGTTTTATTTATTTGCTTATTTCTTATTAGTTCCTAGTGCCACAAGAAAGATTCTTATAAATGTATGCACTAGTCACTAGTTTTGTGCGCGTGTTGTTTGCTTGTTTTTGGTTACCAACCAAAAGGATTTCCATTTTGACGCACATCCTGAGTCTGACGCTGACGCTGACAGTGACGCACGATTTAACTGCCTGAGACTTCAGGGCACGTCGATGTGGATGCTTTACGGGTTTTGTAAAGTGCACGTTCCTTGCCATCTTCAATTTGCCTGCTGTCTGCTGCCTGCTGGCTGCTGCCTGCTGCTTGTGGTCCTCTCTAATGGCAAATCCTAAACCAATTGTATTTCAATATTTCAATGTCTTGCGCGGCTCAGGCACGGTGTTGCGCCACCATTTTTCGCGCACTTCCGTGCGTGTTGCAACTTTGTTGCGGCATCGTTATCCTTGCACTCATTCGTTATCCATACGCTGCATTGCTAAGCACTTTACGCTTATATTTCTGCAGCCGTAACTGTCTGTCTATATGTGTATATGTGTGTGTATGTCTGTGTGCCTTGCATTCACCGCATCGTCAGTCAGTTAGACAATTTAAGTGAGTACTTCGGTGCGAACGAGCGTAACGATTTTGTGCCTCGCACTTCAATTGTCCTTGCAACAAAGCGTCGACATCGACGCATTTAACTTGGCAGTTTTCGTCTGCAAAGTAAAGGACCTTACAGGGATTTGCCATGCACGCTACTTTAGGCATTGTTGATTACATATGTAGTACTAGATTGCTAATGAATAGTCAGAAAATCGAATTAAAACAAGACCTTCTAAAACAAGAAAACAGAATAAGGCTAAATGAGTTAATTTTATTGAAGATCATCAACTTTCGATTTAAAACAATGTTTTCCACTATCAGGGAGCATTTCGAACGATTGTTTTTGTTTGGCCGTTGGTCAACATATCCTTTCGAATGGTGGTTTAAGTCTGAATGGCTTGTTTCATGGTCAAAAATTAATTTTCCAAAAGGGCTTTAGACATGCGGAGCCAAATCAGGTGTTTATGGTTAATGGATAATGTCAAAAAATAATCATAGATGTCATAAATGTCGACTTATTAGATGCTGCATTATCTAGCAGGAAGCTCCAGGAAGCTGCCTTCGTTTATCATTACCCGTTTCGGCTGGTGGCACGAATTGTTGATGAGTAATTTCCTCCCAATCGTAGGAACTTGTCTTTACTTTTGACTTCTCCAAACGATCTTGTTCGATTCATCACTTCATCACCAATCATTGTTGTGTAAGAAGTCTTAGTCCATTTCCGACTTCTATATAATGGCTTTAGAATGTTAGGCTAA